TTACAGATCACACAAACAGTTTTTTTCTTGGGGGAACTGATAAAGAAGAAATTATGACTATCGTAAAACATCTTGCAGATAAAAAATCAAAAGACTGGATGGACATGGATATGATGCTGGTAAAGAATATTATGAGTTATGTTATTGAGCCATTTACATATATATGTAATTTATCATTTTCAACAGGGGTATTTCCAAATAACATGAAAATAGCCAAGGTAATACCATTATATAAGAGTGGAGAGAAACGTGTGTTTAATAATTACTGGCCAATATCGTTGTTGCCACAGTTTTCGAAGATTTTAGAGAAATTATTTGTCACTAGATTAGATGAATTTATCAATAAGCAAAATATATTAAGTAATAGTCAATATGGGTTTAGACCTAAAAATTCTACGTCAATGGCACTCATGGATTTAATGGAACAGATAACGACTGCTGTAGATCAAAAAAATATTGTATTAGTATTTATGTTGATCTAAAGAAAGCATTTGATACTATTGATCACAATATTCTTCTCAAAAAACTAAATAAATATGGAATTAGAGGGCACGCATTGCAGTGGGTATCTAGTTATCTAGAAAAAAGGAAACAATTTGTTCAAATAAATGATGTAAAATCTGAATTCTGTAATATTACATGTGGAGTGCCTCAAGGCTCTATACTTGGACCTAAGCTATTTATTTTATATGTGAATGACCTGGTAAATGTGACTGGATTTTTTAAATGTATTTTGTTTGCAGATGATACTACTTTTCTTTGTGTGGGTGAAAATGTTGTGCAAATGTTGAAGATGGCACAAACAGAATTTGTGAAAATACAAAATTGGTTTCAACTAAACAAATTATCTTTAAATGTAGATAAAACAAATTATATGATTTTTAGTAACAACAAGAAAGTGCTTGATACTCCATTTAGAGTCGATGGAATTGAAATTAATAGAGTCAATGAGGTGAAATTTCTGGGTGTCATCATTGATGAAAAACTAACATGGAGATCTCACGTAAAAAACTTAAGAACTAAAATAGCTAAATCGATTGCAGTAATGTACAAAGTTAGAGAGTTATTCAATGATAAAGCAATGTTTCTATTGTATAATGCCATTATTGTTCCACATTTAATTTACTGTATTGAAGTCTGGGGTAAAGCATGTAAAACAATTACAAATCCAATTTTTATTTTACAGAAAAGAGCCATAAGAATTATTACCAGAAAAGATTATAACCATCCGTCAAATATATTGTTTCATCAGCTAAAGATATTAAAATTTTATGACTTGGTTGATTACTAATTATTTTTTACTTTTTATTTTTTTATTAATTCATCTTGCTTTTGTATAGTAATTTTGTTTGGAATATATTTTGGGGACAAGGGGCAGATATTATAAGAATTCATTCTTCTTCTGCTGCCTTTCATTTTATTTCTGTGATTGTATATCTTTTTTCTTTTCTTTAAATTGTATTATATTTGTTGTTTGGATGAAATGAATAAATAAAACATACATACATAGTTTGGAGGACCCCTGAGCACAACGGTGTAAAAGTGATGGCCCAGCGGTAAATGAGTTTAGATTGATAAAACATTGAAAGTCTCTTGTTTGGTATGTGGAAGTATTTACCTCTGCATTTATGTGGAAGTTCACAGAAACAGAGGTGTTAGTTGGTGTCAGGTCAGCTGGTGGAGCTGTGAGCAAGCGGCACTGATCACCCTTCATACACCTGAGGCGGCTCAGCATTCCTGCACTTTGTTTCTAATCTGGGCACACCCCGGTGGTGGAGGAGGTGGAGGAGGTGGAGGCAGCGCCGCAGCTTCCTGTGGAGCTTCAGGAACTCCCTGTTCGACTGACTTCTCCCCCGCCCATGAGAACAACATCGACCGAGGAAAACGCGCTCGTGTCCGGCCGACGACGACTCTGAAGGCAGACGGGAACCCGGCTCGTCCTGGGTAAGTTCTGCTGCATGGCGCTGGAGCACATTTATCACGAACCCGTGGTCCAAACGACGAGTCCGGCTGAGTGCGAAGTGATCTCAAGTTGGTTTCAGTCCGTGAACTGAAGAGTTGTCGCTCTTGGACCAGCTTCGTTAAAGTTTGTTCCAAACTCCCCGGATTGTTGAGCAGCTTGTTGCTTGAAGTCCTGTCCAGGCTCGGGCCCGAGTGGGTCCAGCTCGGGCCCGAGCCTGGACAGGACTTCATCAAACAAGTGACACGTTCAAAGAAACTATCCGGTCCTTGAAACCGCGGTGCCCCTCTTCATGTGTCCGACACACTTTATACCAAAATACAGTTTTATCTATTAACGTGCTCGTCCTGCTGTTGCGTTCACGGTCCCTTCTTCTACTGTAAAAGCCGCTTTCAGTCAGGAAATATTTGAATTTACTGTAAAACAAACATCACCTTTAGTGGCTGCTAATCTTTTAAACACTACAAGAAGTGGAACCAAAAGGACTTCTGATTAAATGGTACTTTCACTGAAGTTTTTTTTCCTTCTCTATTGGGTGCCATCTTGAACACGAAGGAATGGGGAGGAGGTGAAGCAGGAAAAGAGTGTAGGTCAGGATTATTCAAATGCACAAATGTGTATATGTGTATATATGTGTATACATGTATGTATGTGTATATATGTGTAT